ATATCACTGGTCGCCATTTTGGAGGGGATACACATATCACTAGTGATATGTGTGCGGGGATACACATATCACGGGGATACACATATCACTGTGACAGCGACCATATGTCAATCGTGGAATCTGTGTGCCCGCAGTCATACCAGCGGCTATCCCCATCATCGAATGTTCACTGGGTGTCACACACACAACAAAACAACACAGGCAAGTGTCTCGGCTGTTAAATTTTTTTGTTGTTTTTGTCCGCCACCCCTATTGTACTTCTCTGCCTTCAAAAACAAGCCAACGATTCATCTAGGCCTTGAAGTTCCCAGCCTCTCTAAAGACCTCCTCGACGAGAGAACATTTCTTGGAGGTAAGAAAGGGCTCGAACTACCGTGAGAACATCGACTGACGATTTAAGACCTGTGCCATGTGTCACTCAGATTCTTTTGTGTTCTGTCGGTCGGCTCCTAAATAGGAGATTTCAATATGTTAAAAAAATTAAAAATTAGCAAAATCTTTTGTAGCATTAGGGTGGTAAAGATATATTCCGTCGCAGAATGTAGTCACAGAGCTTTAAACTTTTCCTGACGTGTGCTATGAACAGTGAAACTTCGTTCTTCGACGGGTGTCTTAAGCTCAGATTCGCTAATGTTTGACCAGTCATTTAAGCTTTAATATATTTCGTTTTGTTAGAACAATTTCAACGTTTCAGGCCTTCTTCTTGTAGTTATGGCCTCATGGAAGGGCCGTCGAATTATCGCTTTCTTTCTGTCTCAGGAAGTCTTGTTATAGCGCTTAAAAGCAAAAATTATTCATCTGCATTTACGTTTTGCAACCGTGGACAGCTGTCAAATGAGTGTCGGACAGATGGCTGAATTTTCATCTTTTGTGTCTATATCAAATTTAGCATGATGTACTAAATCTCGCTCACTTTCTGGGAAAATTTCCTGGTTTGAAAACCCTAAGCAGTTCGCTTTCAGGGTTTGAGTTTTATTTTTAGAGTTTCGTTTTCCCTGTGGTCAAAACCGGTTGCTGCCATTCACTGTAGACACATTATTATTTTAATACATTATTTACACAGCTTGTTTACCAGTTATGACTGGCTGGGTGGCTAGTGGAAATTTTAATAGAACATGTGTATGGACATCTTGTAGGTGATATTTGATTTATTTCTGTCTGTCAAAAAAAAAAAATACTAGAAAGTTTACATATATATACAGTATAGGTACATTGTCTGAACAAACCTGAAGACTTCAAGCTTCAATTTTGGAAGTGGATATTACGGTGTATGAAATCCAGGTTTTTTTTTTTCCCAATGAGTGTATGTACTTCTTGTACGTGATCTTTTGAATGATTTTAAATACCTTCATGTGATATAAATTTAAATGTTAACCATTACTGTCTGTGAGAATAATATTATTATAAGCTATTTATAAGTATAATGTAAATATAATAAACAGGGTGAAAGATTTATTCAAATTTTTTAGTCAATCATTTTAGTGGAATTATAAATGCTTAGCCAGCTTTAAGCTTATTCTATGTAATTATATTTATCAAGATGCCAATCTTTATAGATATTGGAGCTCGGCAATTTTATTTTCTTGACCCTAATACACATGTGGTATAAATTTAAAAATTACCCATTACTGTCTGTGAAAATTATAAGCTATTTCTAAGTATAATGTAAATATTGAATTTTAACAAGGTGAAAGATTTAATTGAATTTTTTAGTCAATCATTTTAGTGGAATTATAAATGCCTGGCCAGCTTTAAGCTTATTCTATATTAATCATATTTATCAAGATGCCAATCCTTATAGATATTAGAGCTCGCTGGCCAAGTTTACTTTTTTGGCCCTAAACTAAAATTGTTTGAAGTAGTGCTCTACTGATTCAACCACTGAAAAAGTGTTGAATATTTATTTCTACATTTTCTTACTGAAAATATGCAAAAAAAAAATAGCTGATTAATGGTGTAAAGTATACTTATATTTTGGGACACTGTGAGGTTCAGTCTGGATCTGGGAGACTCTCAGACAATCCAAGAGAGCTTGGCAAAGTTAAATCTCTGTTTCAATTGTAGACTAGCTAGGTGGGCTGTCTCCTTCCCTGGTGTGCAGCACGAATGTGCGTGATCCAAATGAAGTAACATTAATTGAGTGGCAAGGAGTGAGGCTATGAGTGGAGTCCGGTGCATAGTTTTAGTCAGCTAACCAGTGATGAAACAGATTTCAAGAATAAATTAATAGCAATTGAGTGGTATTAAGCAGTGAAGCTGGCAGCCATGTGCATACAATGTACAAGTCGTGTAATTTTAACTTTTCCAGTCATGCAAATGATCCACAATTCAGGAACCACAGGTGCTGTCAGTGACCGTTTGTGTGTGTCTCATCAATTGACAATGCTTGCTTTGGTATAAACATGAAAGTGCATCAAATGCAGAGATAGTAATCAGAAGGTTTTCTTTTTAAATGTATAAATTTATAAACGCATGCATGTTCATTTCAATCAAGAAAATTACACCTATGTAGAAATAATTGTTTTAGAGCATAAGATGAGCATACATGTTAGAGCCTCTGTATAATTTATATGCACAGTTTATTAGGATGACTTGAGCTGACTGTAGTTAGGGCCATAAGCAAGGAGCTGGCTAAAGACTGTATTGAACTGCAGTGACAATGATGGATAAATTTAATAACGAATATGTAACAGCATATATTGGGCAGGTACATAAGACAGATTACTTTAAATTTGAGTACTTGAGTGTATTGTTTCATTTTCCAGTTCTGCGAATGTGCAGTTATCATGGCTGAAGTTGATGATCCCATCTGTGATATGGAATATCAAAGTTCTTCTTTTAAATCAGATGGCAAGTGAATGTACACTGTAGATTGTACTCGTATGTGTACAAAACAGTATTTTATTATTACATGTATACTTGTTGTAAATAAATCATTAAATCTGTGGTTCCAGAAAATATCCATACCTCCTTGAAATTTCCAGTTTAGCTTCATACTTTCCCTTTAACAATTTGGCTTAATTGAGACTCCCTACCCCCTCAGAATTTTCAAAGTGCAGTTCCAGAAGATATCCATACTCCCCCCACGGTAGGGTTTGGAATTTCCTGGAGGGGGCAGGGGGGGATGGTTTTGCAAGACCAAAAAATTTGAAGAATTGTATGATGCTTAATTGGAATTTCCAGAGGGGTGGAGGGGTCCGTTGAGGAGGTACATGTATGGATATTTTCTGGAACTACACAATGACTATCCTTGGTGGTGGGTATGGATATATTCTGAACCCACACACTTCAGATTTATTTTATGCATGCGTATGAGTTCATACATACACACCAAGAAATGCGTTCCAAGCTTTCACAAAGTTGGGAATTTTGTTTTTCTTACTTTTCTTTCACTTAAATATTCTGTCAGTGTTTACATGTGCATGGCTAAGTTAAAGACCCTTATTATCACACATTTTCATTTGGTTGTACCTGAATCGCAGTCTAGTGAATGTCAGGCAATACATGTAGAAGTACACTACATAACATGTATTGTACTTATTTCATGTACAAACCAGCTTTGGTCTAACCACTTCAATGTAATTGTATAAGGAAATAGTTAAGTAAAAATGCTTAAACTTGTACATTGTTGAGTTAAAAATGTGGCAGAATTTAGTTTCAAGTTAAATATTAAGTAAGCCCATAAGAGAAATGCACAGAGAAACACAGGGACTGAAACCAAGTGCAGGTTCTTCTTGATTGATCTTAAAATTCACAAACTTGTGCTAAGCCTTACATTTTGTATGTGAGTCAACAAAATTTGCTCACGGAGCAAGTCAATAAGTATTATTACCTTGAATCATTATAAAGTGTCCTGGAGGCAATAAATTATTGCTTCAGCATATTTCGTGAAACTGTGATGCTCCAGGTTAAAAGAACTTGGTCGGATTTTAACATGATCATCCGAGATCTTAACAAGGTACATAAACTTGTAGTAGTAAGCCAGCGTTCACAAATTCATAACTACATGTAGATACGGTATGCGCATGGTGCTCCTTTAACTTAATAAGGAACTGCAGTGTACACATATAATCAGACCAAACTAACAAATAGGCCACTCTCAATATATTAAAATTCAGTTTGACACATGTAGTGAGGCCTAGAGGACACAAACAAAAGAAATGAATAAACATGGTCATTCAATTTCCTTTGTTTGTGTCCTCTAAGCCTCTCACATGCCATGCTGAATTTCGATATAGTGAAAGTGGTCTTTTGTAGTGGCTGTGGGTTCCTTGAATATTATTATTAATATTTATCTTATCACTGCAGACTTGGTTTATTAGTTTGTCGTTTGATGTATATAATGTTTATAAATAAATATAATTGCTTTCTACAGACATACCAGTGGTTGTCTCTGAAGATGAGTTTTATAAGGTTGATATGAAGCCAATTGAGACAGCAGGAGTCAAGAAAAAGTGTGAGTTACCCTTTTTAGTTGATTAACCACAAATGCTTCATTTAATGCAGGCTTTTTGCCAGAATTTGAAAAGTGGCCATCCAAAATGTGCTTTATAGGGTCTGCTCAAATGAGCAATTTATAAGGCAACATAGGAAAAATAAAACAATTTTCTTGAGAAAGTGGCCATCCACAGGACGCCTGGCTAAAAGCTGATTTAATGACTTTAATTGTACGGTAGTCTGGCTGCCCCCATGGAATTATAATTAATTAAGAGTTTCTTTCTCTGGTTGAGTTGTGGTAAGCTTTCAGATAAAATGGCCTAGGACCAAAGAACTTAAGTTGGCTTACAGTATTTATAAACTTGAAGTTGATAAAGGTACATGTGCATGTAAATTAACAGCCGTATGTACATGTACTAACAAGTTTGTGTAGGTGACATTTCAAGCATCACTAGCCCTTCCTCAGAGCAGAATTAGTAATAATTTGGCCTGGGATCATTTAAGGGCTAGACACTAAGACTGGCCTATTGTGTTCTTACTTATCTTTACAAGACTGTTCTTGGCCAAGAATATGGCTATTATTGCAGACATTTGGCTGTATTTTTGCTTTTTTTAGAAAAGTGTTAAAATGACAACTGAGTACATGTACCTTCCACTATGAGCCACAGTTTCATTAAAATGCCAAGGTCTTGAAAAAGCAGTGGAATCATTTTCATGCCTGCACATATATCTAGATAGATTTAAAGTTTCAAGGTTTCATCCAACACCATGATTTTTGCTCAAAATTATACCACTTTATAGTTCACCACTAAATTGTCTCAGATTCTTATTGGTTTAAATTGATCACGTGACGCGATAGTGTTCATCCACGGAGAGACACTATTAGCCCATAGTGCCTGTCCGAGGAAAATACCCGGATGGATAGTACCTGTCCGTGAAAAATTTTCAGTAAACAAGCGAGCTTATGAAAAAATAAACAATTGAAATTGTATCAAGTGGGTTTTGTTTATTTTCCTTTTTAAATTTTACCTTTGGCTTTCACAGCTTTTATCTAAAAAAGTTGAAAATAATTCAATATGATTTTTGAACTGGCGTGCAGAAGGAAATTTAGTGGTGAACAATAAAGACAATATCTAGTGTTTTTGTCTCGGAACTATCAGCCTGATAGTTGCCCCTTGGAAATTTGATGTTCTTAAAACTAGCATATTTGCCTTAGAAGCTTCCCTTCTTGGGCAAATATTTGTTTGAAGAGCATCAAATCTCCACGGGGCAACTATCAGCCAATAGTTCCTCAACAGAAACACTCTATTGTTTAAATAGAATTGATTCCTGAACCATAAGTGTTAGAAAATCAAAATTTCATTTCCTATGAAAAAAGTGATTTTTCGGAACTGAAATTGATGGGTCATGAAATTTCCATGAATGGTATCCTTAAGTCTGACACCATTACTGACATCCATAATACTACTTGTTAGTAGTACTTTTCATCTCCCTTCAACATTCAGTGGAATCTTGTTGATCCAGTCAATAATGGGCCACAAGAATCTGGTTGTATTAATCGGGTGGCCAGATTAAAGTGGTTCAGTTCTTTAACTAAGAAAATGACCAACGGAGCCTTTTTTAGGGCCAGAATAAAGTAGCTGCCATAGTAACTGGGTGGTTGTATGAATGGGGTTGGTGCAAGGTTCCACTGTATAAATCATTATCATGTGATGTTTGATTTTTTTCTTTTTTTTCTCTCTCTCTCTCTCTCTGTCTCTCTCTCTGTCTCTCTCTCTGAATTACTCATTAAAACTTATAGATTCAAAGGGACCCAAAAGACCCCAGCAGAAGAAAGAGTTGTACACAAAACTTGATGAAATCCTGTTTGCAGCACTTCGCCAAGAGTTTGAAGTCTCCCCAGGGTGCACCATTGATCGACTCGACATGGTCAAATTCCTGACCAGTGTGGTACATCAACATTTAAGTGACTGTCCAGATCTTGACAAGCTTTTGAACCTTCGTGACACTGTTCTAACAGGACGTGTCAAGAAGGTCTTTCCAGAGGTGGAATATAAGAGAAAGCAGATCAAGCAGGACCACTATAGAAAAGCGTATCCTTAGCAACAAAACTGCGAACTACAATTGCTTTACATTGTACAAGGCTATTACAAGCGTACCTGTTCCAGGTGCTAATTTTTGCTTATTTCATTTTTTCGGAGCTTAACATTTGGTACAATCATGTACTGTATCAGTCATTCTGGCTACCCTGTAAATCTGAGGTGAAACAAAGTTTGATCTGCATGTCTGTCTGTCTGACTATTTGTCTGTGTCTGTCTGTCTGTCTGTGTGTCTGTCTGTCTGTCTATCTGTAATGTGTTCCATTTCAAATGTTCACAGTTTTAATGCATAATTATTAATACATGTAGGTTTCCTTTTGAAAAGACATTGACCTTTACTCTAGCAAATTGAGGACGTTTGCAAATACCTTCAAAAAACGTGAACATGTACATGTACCTGTTGATTTGTGGTCTTGCATAATTGTAACTAACTAGTTGCAATCAAAGTCATGTTCCTTGACTGTTAACTAACTACACAGTTGGCTTTATGTCAACATTAGAAGAAAACCTTCCAGAATCACTCATCATGGAGAAGGTAAACAATCGTGTAAATGTATAATTGAAACAAATACTACACATTTATCTTCGTGTTGTTACTTTTATGACTATTGATAAAGCGCTCACAAGCTTTGACAAATGCCGAACTACATTGTTTATTGGGTTCATTAGGGACTTAACACTTCAAGTTTTCAAATCTACCTGGCTTGAAAATCGTACCCATGGATAATATCCTGCGAAGATTGCTGTTTTGAATCCAAAACATATGATTGTTTATGGCTTTCTGAAGGCGTTGTAATCTGCACGCTGACAGTTGAACATGTACCTAAATTCGGATTGATCGAAGCAACGATTCATATAGCTGAGAGAAAGTGTTGATGAAAACAACTCACAGTTTTATGTTTAAAGGGGAGTACGTATACATGTAGAGCGTTCTTGGCTTGCAAGTCGTTCACGGTTTTCAAACACTATTGAGTGTTTGAAAGGAGCCTAAAGATGGGTGTACAGTGGTATTTCAGTTTATACAGGTACACGAAGCTTACATTTGCGTGAAGCACAAGCATAAACATGATTTTGTGTGTAGGTATTGCACAAGTGCAAGTGTGAACGTAGCCTCTTCCAGGCGTTCAGTTAGTTGAGGTGCAGTTTTTCGCTACCATCCAACTAACTGAACATCTGGAAGAGGCTAGTGTGAACGAGGCTTAAGGAGCTGCTTCATGTACACATCATTGAAGAGTCTAAATGAATGAGCAGTAAAGGTGCACACTAAGAAGGGACCATGACTTTTCACAACTGTAGTTTAGTTGTAGCTTACTCTCTTTTTAAATGTAGTAAAAATAGTAACCGTGAGCAGCACAAGGACTTGGACTCCACCCGTCGCACCAGGAAGTGCACCAGTGAGCCATGCATCGTCGTCACCATCATCACCAGCTAGTGACGATCAGCTGCCTAGTCCACATGCTTACACCACTACCACATTTGAACACTGTAGCACCAAAGCAGACAGTGCAGGAGCAATTCAGTACCATGAGTCTGAGCAGAATAGCAGTGGCTCTGATGCGGTACCGTCCTTTAGTTCTCAGTTTAGCATCGGGTGCGTAGCAAGTGAGCGAACTGGTGTGGTGTTTGATAACTCGACTTTACAAAAGTGGTAAGTGAATCACGACGCATTCCCGTTACAAATCAGCAAACTGCCATGAAATAATGATTGACTACAAACTACCGTCTCCCTGACAAACGCCTCATACCCATTAAGCATAACCCCACTCCCCTCCACAAGAGACAATTTGCGTCAAATTTCTTGCTCTAATAAACGTCCCAGTGTATCTCCTAAATGCACGTCCAAGCAATTGGGAGTCAAGTACAATCTGTTACAAAATGCCCTCTCAAGATATTTTGTGATAAGCGTCCCACTCTTTTGAATGTCTTGTATCCAATAAATGTCCGCATTCCTTTAAAAATAGATACTGTTTTTTTTAACTGTTAGTACTCCTCTCCAATCGAGTTCCCCTTTGTATATATTATTATGACACCTCTTTCAAGGTCCTGTCCACACTACGCTGGAGAAATTTGAAAACGCAGCTTTTTTTTCTACGGTTAGGCCTACCGTCTACACTAATCCGTCACGAAAACAGAGCTTTTTGAAAACGCTCTTCAAACCGGAGGAATTTGAAAACGCCGTCTCAGCGTTTTAGTGTGGACGGAAAACATTTTGAAAACAGAGACTTTGAAAACGATGGCATCGCGGCAATCACGTGATTTTCGTTACCGAGTTTTCCGCAAACACAAATTAAAAATGACCGGTGATTGTTGCGTTTTCAAACTTCTCCGGCGTTGTGTGGGAGGGACCGTAGGCAAGGTTAAAGTTGTATTTAATTCGCACAGGGTCGTCACCAACTATGTTCAAGACAACGTGTCGTACGTTCCTGTGCAAGATGTGGTTAAAGCATTTAAGAGAGACTTTGGCGTAGACATCTCTTATAAAGAATGTCATCAAATGATTCTGTCCGCTTACACCACTCCTAAAAATCGTTTGATTCCTAAGAAGAACGTACGGGTCTCGTCCATTGGTCAACAGTATGTTTATAGAGGGATCGCTGCGATAGACAAACCTGCGTGTACCTCAGTGGAAGCTCAGGTAATGCGCAGAGAAATACAATGTGTCAAGTAACTAACTGTATGTAAAACTCAAACGAAAAATAGAGTCGACTGTGTATTTTAGTGAGGTGAGCAAAGCCAAATAGTAAACATTTTATTTTAAAAGTAAAGTCTACATCTGAGTATTTTTACTTCCTCCTCTAATAGAAGGCTGCATACGGTTGATACAAGGGTACTTACAGATTGAAGTGAATTCGCTCAGTGTCCATTTAGGCGTCAAGGTGTATAAAGTAATGTTAAGTGAGAGGGGGTGAAGCAACTTGCTCAGTAGCCAAGGACAAATTGGATTAAAAATCAGTAAAAGGATTAAGAAGCAGTAGAAGACCATACCTGAGTTGACAGTGTCGTGGAAGATCAGTTTTGAGTGTTTTAAGGTCAACTCCCACCGCGTTCAAAGATGTTTTTCCAAACCTGGTCGAGTTTCAACCGCTAGTTTGTTGTTAACAATGTGGTTTTGCCTTGCCTGCAGCTGTACCTCAGTCTCTTCGGATAACCTAATCCCCCGATTCATTTCTCGCAGGGTGTCGACGAATCTGAGTGTGCACAATCCAACTACCAATCAGAAGACTGCCAAGGAGAATCAGAGGAGAACTGGAAACAAAGGGTCAGAGAAATAACCACTGAACGTGACCAAGCGCTGAACGAAAGAAACCAGGCCCTGGCGGCCTTAATGGAACTAGAAAAAGAACACGCCGAGGCACTGGGGACGATAGAGAGATTGAAAAAGGAAAGTTCGTGTAGCAGATACGTTGAAAACTCGCCTAAAACATTTAAAGAAGTTAATAATATTAATAGCATGGTCCGAGAGACGACCGCGAACCATCGCGAAGGATCCTCGTTTGGTAGCTTGCTGCGATTTGGCGACGCAAAGCGCGATTTACTTTCCCAGATTGATAAAAACCCGGATCGTCTTCAAGACCCGTGCGATTTTTCGTTCTTGAAGGAGGTTGTCACGCAAGCGAAGGACGAGCGTGACAATTTACTCAGAAGGTTGGATGTTGTTAAAACTGAAAGGAATTCGTATTTGGAGCGGCTGCATTCCTTTGAAAAAGAAAACCAGCGACTCAGGGATGCTGTTAGCGTCAGAGACTCAGATCAGTCACGCAATCGATTGTTAGATGACATTTCAATGCATTTTCAGGCCAACTGTCACAGTGAGCATGATACAAAGGAAGCGCTGAGTTCTGTGCTGGCTCACTTGAAGTCCAAAAGGTATGTACATGATCAACATTCAAATTCGCCCAACCGAATTCCTCGTTTTTTTTACGGTGTTGGAACAATTAATAAAATAGCGTCGACGCTTTTGCAAGCAGACACCTCACATGATCTTTAGGAGAGATCTTGTCGTGTTTTCAAAAGGGAATCTTGCCTACAGCTCCTTCACGGCTTTTTTCGTTTTTACTTCAACTCCCCGGGATTGGTTTGGTACACCGACATGGCCGCCGTTTCATTATTTTAGAACACCAATATGGCTGCCATGACTTCATCAGTGTGAAAACGCTTAATAGGACTTATCAGTGGGTGGGCAGGACCACTGCTCTATTGTCCACTCGAGAGTCGATGTCCACGCGGGGAGGCGAGGGGGACTTCATTTCCCATGCTGATCATTTTGTGTATTCTCATTACTTGTACTTCTGACTAAGTATGTATTCAGAACCTGTGTGTACTGTCTTGATATCAGGGCCACTTTAAAGTGTAGTAATGTTTTCGTGAGTTAAGTTGAAAAAAAGGTTTTTGAAAAACAATATCAAGCTGGCAACTAAATGTTAAGCGTTTGCTTTCAGGGCTTAAAAAATGTCGAACCTTTCCCGCAAAAGCTATACTGGCGGGCTCTCGTAAACTGTGCAACGTTCGCCGACAATCGCGGAACTTTCCAAAATGACCGGAGCCGGAGTTTCCAGATTTCTCGAATTTGTGTGCGGTAACGACCTTAAATGGTACTTTTCGGCGGCATATCAGACTCATCTGGTCTCGCCATGGCCACTTACAAACCATAGCTACACCAAACTCGCCTGATATGCCACTGACGCGAACCAAAAGGTACAATTAGGTATAAGAATCTCGAAAGCTGGTCACTCGACTTCCAAGTCACTCGCCAGGATATGCAGGCGGTAGGCAAAAATGCGTAGCGCTGTTAGACTAGGCTCTGCCTCTTGAAACTGGTTCCGCCATTTTGTTGCATGCGCTGTTGCGAGACAAGCGTCCTTGGGCTCGTCACGAAGATCGCGTGACGAGCCTTAAAGAGACTATTGCGAGAAAACGTGAACAGGGTGTTACCTAGCGTAACACCCCTAGGTTACGCAAATATAGGCGCAAAAAAAATTTGTTGCAGCGCTGTCACAATCTTTGCGAGAAGTAAAACCTGATCAGTTCTATTTTGTGCAAGGCTTGTAGCAACGAAAACGTTGCGAAATGTTTTCATTTCAGGCTCTGTTACGTTAGCCAACTTGTGTATCACAACATAATTGTCAGTTCTTTGTTTGTTGTTTGTTGTTGTTTCTTTTCTCGGTTCATTTAGGGTTTTTTTGCCTTACTTTTATTTTCTTTCTATAGGAAACAAGTCGCCCCATCTCGTTTAAACAAATCACCCAAATTTGACCATGCCAATGCTAATGAACAGAACAGCTTCGAAGATCAAAAACCTCTCCCGGGCGACTGCCAATCGCCTGCAGGAGCAGTGGACAGCGGAATTCCGTCCCCTGAGAACTCGGGCGTTTCGAATGGTGATCTTGTCAGCGAGAAGGAGAGTTTACTTAATGGCGATATTGACAAGCTAAGTAGACACACAAGCAGCGAGGAACCGGGAAGTAAACAAGATTTACTTGTTTTTACATCCGGGAGCGGGATGATTGGCTTTACGCGACATCCGCTTGAAGACTAATTGTAATCCTGCGACCTCCTTCCCAGGTTTCTTGGCAGAAAGATGAAGGACTCCGGGAAGGTCTTTTCTCCTTGACTTGCACTAATGCCTTTACATTAGTAGGGAACTTATATTTCCAGGGGCCCGTTTCTCGAAGGTCCCGAAAAGTTTTTGTACCCGAAAAGCCGTCGAAAAATCTCAAACCTTATGACTTCAGAGCTGTTTTATGCACATATTCTCAACAGGAACAGAGGTTCCCTTCATACAAGAAGTTTCAGGCGAATACACTTCTTTATCTTTAAATACCGGTGATCTAAAAATGGCTTTGCGGGCCCGAAAAGTTTCCGGGGCTTTCGAGAAACGGGCCCCAGGTTTGAAATTTCTATGTAGCTGTTTCAGTCCTTGATCTGAAAGAGAGAATACCCAATAATGCGAGTGTACCTGTTATTTTTACCAAGCAAGGATTTGTTTTATCAGGTTTTGCCGTGTAATTGTGAAAGTTCAGGGAATTTTCTTCTCGCTATGTCAGGGAACTTGCACTGCATACACCAGAGATATAGTATTTGGTTCAAACGAAGGCAGTACGCCGGAGAAATGGGTGAAACGTTTTAATTGAATTCTTTTTTAGTTGTATATGCACCTTAATTTCCAGGACATTACCTCTCACCGGTCTTGGACTAAGACATGGTCTTCGGCAAATCCTTGTAAAGGCCCCCAAAGAGCTTCCAACTATTATTGTCCAATAAGAAAGCAGCAGTAGCACTCTAACAAATGTCACGTGAGCCTGTCAGTGGTGAGGGAACTTTATGTTGCTTAAAAACGTACTTGTTTAAAGCCGCGGGTTCGGTCAATTCTCGGAGATGGGAAATTGTCCTCCCCCCTTTCATCCCCCCTTACTTTCCTGTTCTTCTCTTCCTTCGGCCCTTTCCTTCAATGTTTTAGTGGTAACGGGAGTAGATAATGAGCTTACCCTAATTCAAGTTTTGATAGTTTAGGAGTTTGGGTTCATTTTAATTTGCTTCTTACAGTTGTACGTTACGTTCTGTTACTTTATTTAAACGAAAACGTGAATTGGGAGCTCAGTTTAAACCTGAACCTTGTCGTGAATTATACCGTAATCATATGATAGTCTCATCTCATTCGTGCCAGAATCGATACGAAGTCGTATCGCTGTCGCCCTTTTGTCGTGTCCCAGTCGTCATTAGTCGTGCCGCAGTCGTCGTACATGTACATGCATAATCGCACCGCAGTCGTAGTACAATCGTACCTTACGGCAGTAACTCTATTGCCGTAGAGCACTCATGTACAGTCGTGTTGTAGTCGCATCGCAGTCGTTCCCTACTCGTGCCGCAGTCGTAAAATGCCCGGTATCCGTAGCGTAGTACCGAGTACCGATACCTCCACTTGCTCGCACGTGCGATCCACGTTGATTGTTGTCGTGCCCAGCTTTCATCCTAGTCGTACCACAATTTTCGGTTCTTGTTCAAACGTCAAACTGCTCAGAAATCTTTTCTGCACACGTTTTTCATGATTCATAAAGGGTTGATAACGTGTTTAAATCGCGTAAGATCGTGTAAGTCCTGTATCATGCTCGGAAATTTAGACTTTGCAACGAGACTTGTTCAAACGTCAAACAGGTCGCAAATCTCTTCTGTACAAAATGTTTCAGTTAAAACGCGACTCGCCCGCATATGCTGAACCATACTTGAAACTACAGGGGTTTAACTTAAACGGGTCTAAGTTTGAATAATTATTCCGAAAATTGTGGGACAATTGAATAGTTTTCTCATTTCCGATGGTTTATGTATGTTAGGATAGAGTATAATCGGTTAATATGTATAGTGTGTTATTCGTCCGTAGCTTATTTAATATAATATTTGGTTGAATTCTTGCAGTTATCAGGACCCAGTTGTTTACAAGGTGAATAACACTATCCCCCGGGTAAATGAACAGAAGAGTATAGCTGGTCTTGTTCACACGTATGCCCTAAGTAATCATTAATCGAGGCACCTGGTTGTTCGAAAGCCAATTTCAAAAAGGTAATGCAGGGTTTAAAGTCAATCGAGACTTATAATTTCTCTTTTCTGAAAAAATACTTCACTGTAAATATTTTGCGGAGTTTGGTAGTCTAATGAAAGTCAAAACTGTGTTAGATTATACTTTGATTGTTGCGATCGGTGGGCATTGATTATTTGACTTAAATATATCTGATCTGTTGGTTTTTGTTCACTTAATTTCGGTGGCAACTGTCCACCTTCATCAGAGTAAAAAACCAACCTATTTAATGTAACTATTTATTGTCGTAGATTAGTTTAGTCGGACATTTGAACTACCCGGTTGATAGAGTTATCCACCCTTTCAGCAACCAAGGTCCAGTACTCTGTACAGTATATAGCACCAAATTTAATGTAACTATTTATTGATGAAGACATGTAGCAGTTATTTAACGGGGTTTATCTTCGGTGGTCATCATTTCGATGTAAAGTAAGAGTAACAGATCAATGATGTAAAGTGGTAACACTAACGTTAGTATTTTGGGTTTTCCGGGATAAGATATATATTACAAAAGTTACTAAATTAATAAAATGATGAAGTGCAAAAGTAACTGTAAGACTCGTTACTCTAACCTTGCGATGGACTAGCATCCCATCCAGGGAGGAGTAGAAATACTCCTAGTGGGATCATGCTACAGAAAGCGGGATAAGTCTTGGCTGAATGGACCACTGGCCTGACGCAGCTATTGCCTTTTAGAAGAACTGAACTGAAGTCGATGAATTACATAATCGGTTTGATTCTATTGGTTAGTTGTAGAGCACACATAACCACCTTGAAGTTGAGTTGAGTTGAGTTGATAACTTTATTTATACACGGTAAAACTTCCTTCAGCATATTTAAAAGTATAATATCTAGGTCTGCCTAACTAAATTAAGTAATAATTAATATAGAATTATAAGAATAATAACCTTTTCAAGGATGGCGTGTCTCATTCAAAGCTGTAATGACGCAGTTAACCTTTAAATTCGCTGAAAGAAGCTGTAGATCGGAGTTCATGAGGAAGGCTGATCCGCAAGATAGCGCCCCTGCTGGAAAAAAACGTTTCTTTAAATAATTGGTGGGGGCTGTGGAAGAGCAATTATCAGATAAGGTTTTTGTGATATCTAGAATAATCAAGGTCGAGGTAGGGGTTATCAGCCAAAGCCGAACCTTGATTATTCTGGATATCACAAGAACCGAATCTAATAATTGTTTTATTACACACTGAACGACAAAAAAGCAATGGAAGTCATGTTTTTGCTTCTTCACTGACGGCAAGCAAGAAAAAGCACGCGAACTTGACATAATATTACCGTTAGAAATCATGCACCGCGGTCATACATGACATCATTACCCGTGACCTTGAGTGTCCTTGACATGATTATTGTATAATCTGCAGCTAGATGACGTCACAGGCGCTGAGTTCGAAAATTCACTGAACGCTTTCGGCCAATCAGAAAAGAGATAGTGAGTTCAATGTATAGTAATTATCAGAATTCCACAGTAAATACGAAGAAATATTATTTCGAGATACGAGTCGAGACTTTAGATATTCATGGGTCAACCCATGTAAAGTTTTGAACATCATAAAAGAGGTGGCTACCAGCCGAGTGCCTGAAACAGCTTATTTTTATCAATATCGTCTTCATTGTTGCATACAAACACACACAACAAAGAACTTTGCCAGGATTCATAACCATTCCCTCTATTAACTTTGGTCTAGTCAATTAATCAACTGGAATTATCAACGTATATTGCATATGAAAAACGTTTTTTCAGTGCATTATAGCTTCAATGCAATAAGTTGTTCTTTCGTGTTTTACTGAATAGAGGCAGAATAACCAGCAAACTCAGATAAAAGGCATCACCACTTGATGAAATGGAGAACCAGACCGTGACAAAACTTTCATTTAGTTTATAGCGGAGCTCCGGCGGCCCAAAGGGCCCCCAAGCGGAGCCCCATACTCATATAGGAAAGAAAAAGAAACCCATGAGTTGATTTTCTCACGGTTATCATGGCTAGCGGTATTGCTCGTGGGCGCGTACGCACGACGGCGACGACGACGGAGTTGTCCAACATGGCGGCCATACTCCAAATAATAGGTTGACAGACAATGCAGCCTTGGTTTACAGTGTACTTCCTTGATATTGAACATCCACGTTATGATCAATTGACACCTGTCAAAACAAGGTATCCGCTGACCAGTATCACGTGACCATATCGCGGGCCCAAGTTTACAGCTACTCGAGGTCACGTGTTTTTTTTTTAAGTTGACCGCTGACCAAGTGCTGGTTATCGATTGGATCGCGGGCTCATGTTAGGTTAACTTGTTGGAAACAGGGCAAGATTATTCGGAAGCCGGTTGACGCTAACCCAGGATTAAAAGTTAACCAAATTATAACTTCTTCTATACAAATGTTTTTCGCTGTTTTGTTTTGTGTATAGGGTGATTATTAAAACTCAAAACAGAAGGCCAAACAATATACAGAAAACCTCACCGCAAAGTTACAAAATTCAAATCAAAATTCTACCGTTTTCTGGATTAGCTTAATCGGGCTTTGAACAACCTGGCCCAGGAGCTACGCTTTTAGGCTGGCCTAAATCTATATATTAATTTTAATTTGTAATAGTAATTGGACCGAGTTGAGTGCAATTCAGGGAGTAATCGCGCGAGTAATTTCAAAATCGGACGAGTGCGAAGCGCGAGGACGCTTTAGAATTACGAGCGCGATTACTCCCTGAATTGTACGACACGAGCTCCAATTACTAATTAATCGTATTTAGAACTAATTTTGGAAATAAAGATTTCTTTTGAGAACTTCTTTTGAGCGAAAACGCATGTAGCGTGTTTCATAAGCTTTGAAAACTGTAGGAAGCAGTGCAAAGAAAGCAATTAAAGCGTACGCAATTGACGTGCGAATCACGTGGGTATCCAATTACAGGCGTCCAATTACAAAAAGTTCCAATTGGATACCTGTAATTGGACACCCACGTCATCGCGCGCCGATTACGTCGCCCCTTTTCGATCAGAAATCATCTCACGTAAACACAGCAAGCGAGTCGAAGACCTAAATATGAACCAGCGAGCTCACTTTAATAGACTTTAAGCGCTCTAAGCGATGTAAATTTGAAAAATGACTTGAAAAGCATCTAACCTTAAGGGTAGGTG